TGTAAAATAGTGGTTCACTGTCAAAGCCTCAATCTGTGTGGCTAAAAATTATGAGATTATTTTTTTAACACTGCACAAATGCATGTCAACATTTTGAGATGTTTTCTGCAGCAGAGCCTGTTTTTTATTTGAAGATACTTGGGATTCAAACTTCCACCTCCTTCACGTGTGTTTTCATGGTCATTGATGCATCTTCAGTTTTCTTTTATTAATCACATCTGTATTTCTGTCTCGTCTGGAGCTGATAGTTTGACGTTTCTTATTATTTATTATCTGGATGTCTGATAAATTCAAACATATATTATTGCGGGAAATGCAGAACATTTTCATTACGACTCTTATACATTAAAAAAGCGTTTTACTTTCCCCTTGCTCACCTATGTTTGGATGCCGTGTTGGAGTAGCACCGGTTTGGAGACCGTGGAGGACCTGGCTATCGAAAGGGGACGCCGGCCACGTCCCGCCCATGTTCGGGCTCATGTAGGCCGTGTACGGGCTGTGGTACGACCCGCTGAGGCCCCGGGCTCCGTAGTGCTCCCTGCCGTTCGCAGAGATGTTTAGCGGGCTGGCGTAAGAGGCTGCTGTCTCCCGGGCCGCGGCCACCCCGGAGGACATAGGTGGGCTGGTGGAGAAGGTGAAGCGCGGAGACACCGGGGAGTGGTTGTACGAGGGCACCGAGTCTGCGCCCGGCTGCGCCCAGGCGGAGTGGCTCGACACGGGGCTGCTCTGCTGCGACGCGCCGGGCGTCTGGAGGTAAGGCAGCGCCGGGATCATGGGGGTGACGACCCGTGTCGTGGGCACATAAACCGGGGAGGTGCCCGCCGAGGCGTTGTGCAGAAATCCGGCCTCATAGGAAGGGGGTCCGTGGTTGGTGGTCATTATGCCCTGGTACATATCCTCTCCTTGAGGCTGCACATCCGTGTGGATAGATGGAGGAATGATGGATGCTTTTACGCACGAGATGACCGAGTGTTAACGCAGAAAAACTCGTGGTTTAAAACGATCCACAAACACCTGCGGTCCCTGTTAAAACTCAGATGTGTTGTTGGGTCAAACACAAAAGAAAAGTAAGAGGAAAGTGAGAGAAGACACACGAGAGAGGAGGAGGAGGAGTGACTTCACCTTGTGATCAAGATCCAGCTGTTATCATCTCTCTCTCTCTCTCTCTCTCTCTCTCTCTTGATCATCTCGACTTTCAGAAAGATTGGAGTTTATTTTAAGTTTAATCCAAAAACCTGAGGTGGATTTGATTGATGCTGATGGATAAAGAGAAAAGACAACCGTTCTTATAAACTGGATACTGGTCAATAAAATGAATGTGGGTTTGATACTAATTTTGAACTTTTTCCTTTTTTAACGAGTTAAATTTACGAATGATTTCTTTTGAGTTATAGGTCGTGTACCTCTCTGTTCTTTTCACTTATAGACTGTAAAAGATACATTTCTATTTTAAAACGATTCATATAATGCTGCTAGTTTTCTACTAAAAGTCGATTGATAAATATCTAGTTTATTTCTGACTCGTCTATTATCAGTGTTTCTTGTGTGTCTGTTGCGATCCTCTTTTGGCCCCTTGTTGTAATTAAATTAAATGAATAATAATCTCATATAGTTCTTCTCCCACTGACTTGAAATAAAACCACTGGCATATTTTGCAAGATAAAATTGATTATGAACGAAAGTTTGATCAAGTGATCAATACATGTCTGACCTATAGATTATAAACACGTGGCCATAAGCTTATCAGTTTTCAAACCCTTTCAAAGTCTCAATAATCGGGGAGAGCAGCTATCTTATCTGATAGAAACAGGCCTGTGTGTTGGATACATATTCTACACGTTAATAGATATTTTCGAGGAACACTGCAGTAAAGATAACTCTGCATGTGAGGATAAATCAGCTGTGACCTGCAGGATGTGACGTGTCGTTATTACTGATCGAATCCGTCTTATTTGAGACTTTTCACCAGTGTTGTTGTTTTTTCTCGTCGTGACAAAGATGATGAATGCTGCATGGATGCTTGACGCCTTTGGTCGGATTTATACCTGTCATCAACACCAGTGAAACGTAAACACACGAGGCCATTTCATTGTGCAGCCACTTCCCACTGACAACCTCCCAGTGAATGATGTGGCCCTGCACAAGCTGCCAATAATGCGTGTGTGAGTGAGTGAGTGTGTGCACGTGTGTGTGCACGTGTGTGTGTTTGTGTGTGTAATGTAATAAATGCCATATATGTTTATATATATATAGAGAGAGAGAACATATAACACATTTAACTCCATTGTTCATAAAAGGAAATTTAAGATCTTCATTTGTGATACAAACCATAGAGCTTGTATTCAGGTTGCACTGTAATGCTCCTGGGAAAAAACTGATGAAACATTAAATATACAGACGTGATCTGAATTCTCTCACAAATTTAGGAAAGTTGAACTTTAACAAGGCTGTTCTCTCACACTAATAAATGTTTTGCAGTTATATATGTTTCTGTTTATAGGTAGAACAAATAACTTTCCCTGTGATTCTGTATCCCTGTATTTTATGTCATTGCAGTCTACAGCGTGCATGTTTTCAGCTTGTCCCTGCATCTGGCCCATCAGCATGAATGCTATGATTTTCAATGTGTGCTGTGAAAGGGACCTTCTGAAAACCTAAACTGAAATATGTTACCAATACAATCAAATGGATAACATGATTAATGTCAGTATAAGAAACACACCCTTTGCCTGCTTTACAACCATTTAAACTCAGGTTGGACAGTTTGCTCTTTGACCTTCCAGGGTCCTGCAGATGAACTTTTGCTTCTCTGTGTATTTTTAGCTCAACCTTGGCCAAGGAGGTTCTGTTTTCATCTACATGTGTTTGTTTGTTTATTGGTTTGTCTATTTAATAGCAGGATTGTGGTCAAACTACAGGACAGATTATTACAAAACTCGGTGGAAGGATGGGGTCAGGAAAAAACCTGGATTCAGGATTTTGATTTTCACTTTCTCAATATATAGGGATAGTTTACACATGGTTATCTATCTTTCTATCTTTCTATCTGTGCAGAAATGGGGAACCGTTATCAATGTGTAACTGCAGGCTGATTACACATCCACCAATTGCTGGCTAATAATATCAGGGCGTAGTGTCGTTCACCTGCGAGGGCACAAAGTTACACAAAAATCAGAGATGATTCATTCTTTTATGACTCCAGTTAATGTATAGAAGGTCAGACTGTGCAGAGGAGATGAATAGAACAGTGTCGTTGCCTCATAAATATATATATAGTAAATATAAGCATGGAGAATTCTTCTATTATGTGTGTGTTGTTAAAGAAGTGTGGCAGGTAATATAATCACTATATGTCCTCATTTAACAGCAATAAAGTTAGATGTCACTCTTCTTTCAGGCCGCTGATATTAGCAAACGACCACAATCTACAGCCTCTAATCTGAGAGAATAGAAGGTGAACAGTTTACAAAAATACAGGAAAAAATACGAGTTCATCCTCTTTTCTGTTATTTCACTGTACAGTGTGTGTTTTGATTCGTGTGTTAGAACATGCCAGGGTGTAACACTGACAGTGACAGAGGCCAGAGCTGTGTGTGTGTGTCTGTGTGTGTGTGTCTGTGTGTTTATAACCGTGATTCTTTGCAACTGTGTGTGTTTGCTGTCCATGTGTATGAATGAGGAGGTGTTCGGTGAGGGACCAGATAGAGATGCTGGAATGTGGCGGACAGCAGCAGACTGCTGCAGAAGAAAGTGTGCGCGCGTTTATGCTCGTTTGTGTGTGTGTGTCTGTGTGTGTTTGTGTGTGTGTCTCCAATCCAAACCAGGCACCAGGAAAACTGTCCCCGTCCTGGCTGGGGCAGGGGCTCAATCATTTGGGGTCGGTGACTTTCTTTGGCCCTTCTTCCTCACACACATACAAACACACACACACACACACACACACACACACACACACACACTGAGGCTAGTAGACTCCTGGCTCCAGGAAGAAGACTTCAATTGGGGGAGCAGGAAAAACCCAGGAGGCAGAAAACCCAAAAAAACTGAGTGAAACACACACACACACACACACACACACACACACACACACATCACTCAGTCCCACTCCTTGATAGTCTTCGTTCGCGTGTCGTTTTGCACACTGAGCTGAAAGTCCCCTTTCTTTTCTCTCATCTTTTTCTGAATCAGCTCTTCCTCACGTTAACTGTTTTATCTGATCAACACTGATCATTGAGGATTCACTCATGTGATAATGTTAAGATGTGAAAACAGTGCTAATCAATATCAACTCACAGTGTGTGAAACCAGCTCATAAAGACCCATGATTACATCTGATGACTCACACTTTTGTCCCTTTTGTTCTGTTTATTCAGTTTGGTTTGACCTCATTAACTTATTTTCTTTATTCAGTCAGAACTTCAAATGTAGGTATCTTAAAGTAAGTAAAACATGTGTTTATGGCACATTATTTTATTCTCTACTCTAAATTTAAAAAATAATAATAATCCTGTAAATGTGACCTGGTTTTTATAGCTTCTGGATGATGACATTAGTTTTATTGTTTGTTTTTTCATTCACAGTGTTATTAGTTTGACTGCTGTTTTTACATTTTATTACTCACAGTGTATTTTTCCTTATCATATGTTGTTTGCCTGAGAAGTTATAACAGAGACGGGAAAAGCCACTGGTAAACCAGATATGACACAATTAAAATGGGACAAAAATGAAACGTCCTGTTACCTTGCGTACAATTGTTGATTTCTCTGGGTTTGAACATTGTTGGAAAAATTTTGGATGATTTAAGTACACAAGACAACAAAATATACAACAAAGGTCTGAAGAAGAATTGAAAGATTTCCTTTTTCACTGTGGAGTTTGTGTGCTCTCTCTGTGCCTGCGTTGGTTCTTCTTCCTCTAAACTGCCCATAGGTGTGAATGAGAGCATGAATTAGTTGTTTGTCTCTATATGTCAGCCTTGCGATAGACTGGCGACCTGTCCAGGGTGTACCGAGCATCTCGCAACATCAGCTGGGATTAGCTCCAGTGCCCTCCTCGACCCTTTGAGGATAAGCAGTGTAGCTAATGGATGGATTGTTTACTGGACATTAAAGCTGAGTTTGAGTGGAGGATAAGTCATTTAGTTCAATTAATTTAATTAACACACCCTGGTCACATCTCAATGAGGAACTACATTACACATATTTATATAGCATTAGTGATAATTTGATTTATTAAATAGGCTCAAATATCTTGTAGGATCATACATGTTTGTGTTATCGTGTGTGGATTTGTGAGTTATTCTAAGGTATCTGTGTGTTATGTTTGTGGATTTAGTGTGTTTGAGCAGGTAAGGTCAGGGAGTCACACCGGGGAGACACAAGTCCTCACACACGCACACGCACACACACACACACACACACACACACACACACACACACACACACACNACACACACACACACACACACACACACACACACACACACACACACACACACACTCACACACAGTATTAACCAGTGTTTTTTGGAATAAATTATTAACTCCTCGGTTGCAGGTTCTCATGTGTTGGGCTCAAGTGCTGAATCAGACTCTTGGTTCACGCTGTTTGAAGAGCAGCGCAAACACATCAGCCAACACTTAATTACACATGATAAGAATCCAATTATCAAAATCTCCTTTGTTCCCAGTGATGTCCAAAGTTTGTAAAGCTACTTAAACAATTCACAAACGTTTGAATATTTCTGTGACACTCGTAGGCTAATATTTGAAATTCCACTCCTGGGTGTTGCTCGCTCAAAGAGCTCAGCTATGAAATTAAGAGAAATCTAGTTCTGTAAGAGTCAGTCTTGCAAAGCTCAACCAATGATCCACTGACCAATCCGGTTGGCCTAATGTCTCTGAGCGGGACATCCCATGATACTAAAAGTGTGTGGGCTATAAGCTATAGAGCGAATTTATTTTTAGCAGTGAAGACTCAGGGATCCCTGGACCTCTCCCTGTGATAAGAAGTGTCCAAAGTCCGCAGGCAAGAGAAGGTCTGAAGAACAAATATGGAACGCACACAGTGTTTAATATGCTGA